AAAAATCATACACCTATGGATGAGGACAGTGGGAGGGGTAAAGGCAGAGGGTGGGGTAGGAACTGGGTGGAGGAGTGCTATTGGGGGAAAAAAGAGGAACAACTGTAATAATCTGAACAATAAAGATTTAATTAAAAAAAAAAGAATAAGTAAAAAAAAAAAAAAAAAAGATTCCCAGGTGATTCTAATGGGGGGGGCAAGGTTGAGAACCACTGCTCCAGGCAGTAGTTACTGCCCCACCCTGCTGAAAAAAATTCTCACCACACCTGAGGACAATTTCCTGGGGGAAATTCAAGAGGAATCCTATCTGTCTGTAGGCAGAGGCAGTCTCTGAAGGCATTGAGTCTTTGCCTGATCTAATTAGTTAGAAACAGCATTTGACACTGTCCTACACTAGTGATTAAGAGGTGTAGAGGATCTACCTAATATATAGTCACAAACCCAAACAGGCAGCCAAAATGAGGAGACAAAGAAACAACCCCCAAATGAAAGAACTAGAACATTCTCCAGAAGAGATAAATGAAGCAGAGATAAAAAATTTATCTGAAACAGAGTTCAGAGTAATGATGGTAAAGATATTCAACATCATGAAAAAAGATATAGTAATTATAAAAACAGAAATAAATAGTGACATAGCACAAATAAAAAATACATTGAAGGATTACACAGCAGATTAGGGGAAGCTAAGGATTGAATCAGTGAATTAGAAGACAGGGTTGAAGAAAACACTCAATCACAGAATCAAAAAGAAAAACACAATTAAAAAACAAGAGGACAGCTTACGGGAGCTGTGGGACAATGTGAAACATAACAATATTAGAATAGCAGGTGTGCCAGAAGAGGCAGAAAGGGATAGAGAACGTTTTTGAAGAAATAATGGCAGAAAACTTTATTAACTTGGTAAAGGAAAAAGTCAAACAATCCAAGAAGCACAGAGAATCCCAAGCAAGAAGAACCCAAATGGGCCCATACCTAGACACATCATAATTAAAATGCCAAAAATTAAAGACAAAGAGAGAATCTTAAAGGCAGCAAGAGAAAAGAAAACTGTTACCTACAAAGGAGTTCCCTTTCTCATAAGGCTGACACCTGATTTCTCATCAGAAACTTACAGGCCATAAGGGAATGGCATGAAGTACTCAAGGTAATGGAAAGCAAGGATCTGAGACCAAGATTACTATATCCAGCAAGAGTATCATTCAAAATAGACAGTAAAATAAAGAGCTTCCGGGACAAAAAAAGGCTAAAGGAGTATATCACCACCAAGCCAGCATTATAAAAAATGCTGAAAGGCTGAAACCGGTTTGGCTCAGTGGATAGAGTGTCAGCCTTCGGACTGAAAGGTCCCAGGTTCGATTCCGGTCAAGGGCATGTACCTGGGTTGCGGGCACATCCCCAGTGGGAGATGTGCAGGAGGCAGCTGATCGATGTTTCTCTCTCATCGATGTTTCTAACTCTCTATCTCTCTCCCTTCCTCTCTGTAAAAAATCAATAAAATAGATTTTTAAAAAAATGCTGAAAGGACTGCTGTAATGACAAGAAGTAGCAGAGAAACCTAGGCATACAGAATTAAAATGCCAATAAATAAGTACCTATCAATAATAACCCTAAATGTAAATGGATTAAATGCTCCAATCAAAAGGCATAGCGTAGCTGAATGGATACAAAAACATGACCCCACCATATGCCGTCTATAAGAGACCCACCTCAGAACAAAAGACACACATAGGATGAGAGTGAAGGGATGGAAAAAAAATTTTTTTCATGCAAATGGAAAAGAAAAAAAAGCTGGAGTAGCAATACTCATATCTGACAAAATAGACTTTAAAACGAAGGCCATCACAAGAGACAACAAAGGTCACTACATAACACTAAAGGGATCGATCCAACAATAAGATATAACCCTGGTAAACATATATGTACCCAATACAGGAGCACCTGAATATATAAAAAAACTTCTAGAGGATTTTAATGAAGAGATCAACAACAATACAGTCATAGTAGGGGACTTTAACACCCCCCAAGTGCCCCTCAGTAAATGAGTGGATAAAAAAGCCATGGTACATTTATACCATGGAATACTATGCAGCAATTAAAAAGATGCATCTCTTACCCTTTGAGACAGCATGGAGGGACCTGGAGAGTATCACGCTAAGTAAAAT